TTTCCTCATATAGAGGGTAGAAGGAACAGGAGCATATAAGCCTCTGATGAAGCCAGAGGGGGAAGCCGAGACCCATGTCACTGACCACTTTAACCTTCATCCAGATGGGGCATTGAGAAATTCTAGGTTGATTAGACTCACCAGTTTAATAATTTTCATGGAGATTGCATGGAGTGTTGCTTTATCTAATTCAATGATGAAAAGAGAAGGTATCCCCTGGCAGAAATTGGTAAGAGGAGTGCTTACCATACCTTAGTGGAACAACTAACATTAGTGTTGCCATGTATCTGTTTTTTAGAAGGTCCTCCCTCTTAATTTTTGCTTGCCTAGACGAGGATGGAATAGCCATGGGGATCAGACCACACATAAAAAAGTAAAATATTTAGAGTATCCTTCAGAAGGCAAAACAGAGACTACTATCTACAGGAGTCCAAGGTGCTGAATATGTCCTTCAAGCTACAGTTTGGGCACCAAGGTTGTACCACATTCTTCTGTTATCAATGTCTTGTCGAACATGTGAATGCAAGATGGCCTGTAGCCTCTACTCAAAATGAGACACAATATTATATACTGTATGCATGGCATAACATTCCTGTCCACTCATTCTTACCTAGCAAAATAAAAGTTTCCTTCAATATGACCAACTACTGTCATTAAATTAAATTACAGTGAATTCTTTATGCCATCCTACATACACACCATAGCAAATATGGAGCATAGCAGAACTCAGCTGTACATAAAATAAGTTGAAATCAGAAAGGGAATTTACTTAACACTGATAAAATTCTAAGGTTAGATGACGTAAGCTGTCAGCATGGTCAGAGTAGGCCAGGTCTGGAGGACTATACAAGAACACTGTAAAATAAAATCCATGTGTATAAATGATCAGTATATGTTAGTATAAATCAAACTTCACTCATATCATTAAGTACAGAAGTTCCATTTTATTGTAGATATTAACAATATTAAAATAGCTAATTTCCTTGATGGTTTCAAAAACCACTTAGTTATCCACAAAATCCCTGGATGTTACAGAGGTGAAGTATTCAGATAAAGTGAGCGAAACATAGGGAGGGGATTGTGGAAAACAAATAAATAAATACAAAACAAAAAATCAATTGTGTACAATTTCGCTCTCACGTCAGACAGCAGTCACTAGTCTCCCACACCATGTGATTAGCCCTTGGCAGATTTTGGTATCCAGTTTCGGCCATGTTTCTACAACTGTTAGCTCTGCCCCTGGTCAGCAGCAGTGTCACTCACCTATTCATCAGTGTTCCAATCCCAACCTCACTTTAGGTTTAAGATAAATTGTAAATGTTAAGTGGTAGGCTTAAACTATTTAGGGGGTCAAACTCCTTCCAACAAGTTTACCAGAAGGTTATGAAAAAGTAATGATTAGCAAGAAAAATGTGGCTGCGAGTTTCTCAATATTGTGATTCACGAAAGGAGTTTTCCACTCCACAGTTTTATTATCCTACTAAAATGAATAGGTTTTTAGGGCCAGAAGTGACCTCCCAGCTGCCACCATTGGGAATTGGACCCCCCCAAGTCTTGCAATGTTTTTGCTTAAAGCAAAGGCAACTTCTCTTTTTTATAACCTGTCATACTTACCTTTTCTGTGCAATAGTATTGCACAGAGTGGCCCAAGACCTCTTCTTCTGGAGTCGCACCTGTGGGTTTTGATCCCATCCCAGGCTATATATGTCTATTGACACACACAGAGCGGCTTAGCCCCACCCTACATTCTCTGCTCACAAGATTTGATTCACAGCAGCATGGGCCAATGGCACTGGCTGCTATCTCTGTGAGAGAAGAGCTGCTGCAGACAGGCTTAAATGAGATAGGACTCAGGTAAGCATACATCTGGGTGAGTTTGCGTTACAATTACAGGGACATTTTTCACCCTAATGTAGAGAATGCATTAATGTAAAATGTTGAGCCTTTAGAACCACTTTAAAGTTAAATTGCTGCCTAAACCTTTCTTGTTTCAGTTTTGGTTAGAATATGGAAGGGATAGTCCAAGTTTTTATTGCTGTAGTTGTCCCCATTGGGAGGATGTTTCGCCGTGGGCAACAGTCAGCAATAGAAAAACTGATACAGGTTCTAACACTTCACTGTTCTATCCAGGATTAAACCAAAAGTTTTGGGTTGTTTCATTTTTAGGTGAAATTCCTTTTCAAGTCCTTCTACGATTCCTTTCTTGTGCCTATGGTTTACATAACCTGCATTACATTTTTGATTAAAGTGAACCTGTGCTTTGTGCATGCAGTGCATAGCAAAATTTTAGCTTGATTCCCATCGCAGACAGCATATACTTGCCTTCTTTTTTATCCCAACTGCTCCATTTTGCTGGGGAGGGAGGGAAAACAGCCAATGTAAGCTCATGTCAGAGCATACAGAGAGATGGCTGTCCCCATGCCCCACACTAGACAGTGATGGACTAATCCCCAGCACTGTCACTTGGGTTGAGTAACGTGGTCCTACATACCTGAAGGGAATAGACATTTCCATTGCTGTTGGCTGTGGAGCAAAGGAAAGGTGAGTATGTGCTGCTGAGGACCCAGGCTTTAAATCAAAGCTATTGCTTTGCCCTGCACAGGTGTGCTTTAAAGAAAGAGCAGAATGTAAGGAAAGGGCCTCCCTGAACTGTGCACTGAATGTGATATTGCATATGGGAAAAGCTTTACAGCAATTGAGGGCAGCTGATAAAGTATCAGAAGGCTACCTGGGACTGGTGTTCTATCTCTTGCGTGTGTGTGTATATATATATAAAAAGGTCCATACAATTTACTGTCCTCTGGAGCCCTGATTTCACTGAATGTGAATGCAATTTAGGGCGCATATGCAAGCAGCCCAGGAAAGGCGAGCGAGTGTGTGTGTGTAAAGCTTTAAAGTGAACCTGTGCTGTAAGACAGGAAGAATGCCACTGCCTTCTGGAAATGCTCATTGCCTGGTTGTCCATCTGATCAAATGGCTTCAGTTCTTTTCTGAATAAATAACTCAGAGTGTATTTAGGCCACAGACTCAACATTACAGGCAGGCAATTAGCATTTTCAGATGGTGATCAGCAATGGCAGCCTCCAGGTTTTCTTAGTGTATCCAAACCAAAAACGTAATATATCGCAGTTTAGCAATACCTTCAATGAAGAGACTACATTCACTTTTTTTTATTTTTTTTCACCTGTTTATCCTGACAATAATACACTTCCTGTTGCTAGGTGACTATGGAAATACGGAGCTATGGTTGTCACCCAGGCTGGACTTGATATAAGTCTGTCCTTGAGCTGATGTGACTAGTAGTTTACAACAGACAGATTGTTTCTGCTTCATGTTCAGCTCATTGGAAGTGACAAGGACACTGCAGGTATTTTCTGTACTTGCTGAAAATGGTATTAGCTTGAAAAAACAAAACATACAGTATGGCAACTTACCACTCCTTAGATGTACATTAATTACATTTTTGTTTTTTGAGTTTGTTGCACTTTAACAATTTGCAACAAATCTAAACAACAGTGTTTGGAAGTTGGATCCACAGATTTAATACAGCCTGTCGACTCTCTGACACATTGGTTATATCACTGGATTGTATTACATCAAAAGCTCCACAATAGGCATACAAAATGGTTCCTCCACTGGGCATAGGAAGCAGGTGTACGCTAATAATTATTGCAGTTTGTTTTATTACATAAACAGTTCAACAGTTCTTATTCTCTACAGCAGGCGCAGTATTCCTTTCACATTCAATGAAGCTGTAACATACAGGGTTCTTTCACCAATGCAGAACCACCTTAATTATAGACACCTCATCTTCCCAAATGACAGGTGCAAAATATTAAACGTTCTGTAACAACCAGGGCACCCACCGCATTCCATTTTCAAAAAATGCATCAATGTCAAATTTTCACTTTCAATTTCCAGCCTGTGAGAGGCATTGCATAGCTTAATACTTAAACTGCCAGTTCTCTATGAAGATGGAGAAAATGAGAAAAATGGAGGTCCCTGGCAGTAAAGAGTTTAAGCATGACAACCAGAGTTAGAAACAGAAAAAAAAGTACTATTGTTACAAGGTGTTCCTCTATCTTACATGTAAGATAGAGATTTTCAGTGCTTATTCTCTAAAGTACATACGTCAGTAGCAGTGTCACTTTTGTCCTGCATCTAAAGGGTTACAATATGAATTTAAATCCTTTGGGATAAAAATATAGATGGGGCACACTAGTTCTAAAACTGTGGCCATGCCAAAAACGAGTCTGTATTCTGCCCCTCCTCCGTGGTGCACGGTGATAACATCATCACATATGTGAACAGTAGAATCTCACTTTACAACCAAAATATACATATTTACAGATCTGTAAACTCGAAAAACATTCATTAAAAAAAAATTAAAAACAATTTTCTAAAACGATTTACTTTGACTGGATATGGTGCCAGGGGTAAGTGAAATGACCTGACCACACGGATTTGACCTTAGTTTTGTGGTCATTAGTGTTCAGGAACTCCAGCTGAACAGAACTGCAATATGACCATGCTGGAGAAGGCTGGGATGGCCTAGCAAACAAGGCTTCCAGGATGAGATATGAACTCAAGCGAAAATCCTCTTCAATGCTGTCATTCCTTTTCAGTTTGCTCAGTAAATTCTGTGTACGTGTGTGTATTGGCATGATATGTACAGCTCCTTCAACTAGAATATTTTCTCTTAAATTTATCACTCTTGTCCATGGAAAGAGAACACAAATAAAAAATAGGTATGTTTCCTTTTTTATACATATAAAAAGATCTTCTACATATTATTAACTTCCATTTGATATGTTACATGTAAATTTCTGTACAGAGCACAACGCATTCACTCTATATATACTGTATATGTACAGTGCGGTATATGGCTGGACTCCACCCATAGTCGCAAAGGCGCAGTTCGGTATCGCTCATCCACATATTGGTGCTAGTCATTTGGTATAGCAGCATTTTCTAGATGGCACAGAGTTCCATAATGGACATTAGCAACTGCTGTTTTTGAACTCCCCATTCTCTGTGATGGATAACTTGGTAGGATTGGTTGGAGAGATGCCATTTCGCACTTGTGAGCTATAGCGCTCCTTTACTTGTGTCAGCGCGCTCATCAGTCGCGTGTTGGCTGCGTCCAGTGACATGATCCTCTTCTCCTGAAATGGAAACAACAGGCCAGAGGTTAGACTGACACTTTGGTCTAAAGGATTGCACATGGCAGACTTGATTGCTTTCTTCTTTGCAAAATGGAACCTTCGGCAAGGTTTCATAACCTTAAATACCTTTAAAGTGTTCAATTTACCTTACTTGCAAAAGATTACAAAAAATAAATATATCACTTATAGGGTAATACTATAGTGCTAATATGCTTAACTTGTTTAAATGCAAGCTTTACCTAATGGGTTCAAGTAAAGTTAGCCCCCATTTACAATTTTGTTTACAAATGTCCTAATAAAATGGAGAATTTTACATCAACTGGATCTAACATTTGCTACATTTATTGTATCAAAAAGTAATATAGTAATATAATATAGTAATAAAATTTAAACTTCATAAAGCTTCAGAATTGGTACATAGCTTAGTACTAATATCCAACTTATGTATATAAAGAAGGAAATGAATGCTTTTGTGTGACAAATTAACGGCTCAACCAAAAAAATTATGGTGTTGCAATGTGTGTTCCTCAAAAATTAGAAAAAGCCAGAGGTCCCGGAAAATGCCAGAGACCCATCAAAAGCATTTGGTCAACTTTATTATTTTGTATGTAAATATAGAAATGAGTAAACATATTAAGTGTTTCTAAATTCCATTCACAACCATTTATATTAAGACCTGTCATGCCTCAATTAAAGCCATTAAAACTGCATTTGTGAAGTACTGTTGGGAAGGATCCAGAACCTGATTTGAAAACAATGAATGTATCTGATGAAGGTTTTTGATGGCTGCCAAAAATGGCTTAATGTCGTGAACCTATAATATCTTACTTTCAAACTGGTAGATGAGCACATGTAATATTACAGAGAGAAGCTTGTGGAATGTTTCATTTTGCAAAGAAAAAGAAGACACTAGCTGTTAATGGCACGTTCTTTGAGGAATCTACGAGGAGGACAGATATTCTAACATGGTGTAACGGATGGCCTTTTCGCTGGTAGCAGAGGAGACACGGCAACACAGGAGTGAAGCAGCCAGAAGCTGAAACTGAGAGGTTGTTCTGAGCATGAGGAAGAGACGGGAAAGGTGGTGAAGGGTGCACAAATAAAAGTATATATTGAAATAAAGCAAATAAAAATATACAACTAAGAATGCACTGCTCCAAACCCCATTCCAGCTCATGTTACTCAGCAGAGGAAATGGGAGGGGAGGGAGGGGAACCTGCAGGTAACATTATTTTTACACCTGAGCAAATAATATCCAAATCTGGCTTTATGTAATGCCAATGAAACATACAAAACTTAAAATAGCAGCTCACTGCTTCCAGTAGTTCACTTTTAGTAAAAACAACATTAATCCACCCCTCCCGAGTGAACGAACCTCAGCATGACACCCTTTCAATCTGCTGTTTACCTCATCAAGGCTGAAATGTGCAGTGCTGGCCATGCCTAGGCACTGAGCCCTCACAGGTGTCTATAGGTCAGTAATTAGAGTCTAGAGGTGCGGATTTACCATAAGGCAAACAAGGTATTTGCCTAGGGTGGCATTTTTCAGGGGGCAGCACCCCCCCCCCCCCCCCGAAAGAAGGGATGGAAGAAGGGACACATGCAGCATGGGGACCAGGGGGATCTTAGAGAGGCTGTGGGCTGCTTGATGGCGTATGTAGAGCCTGGCTCTTGTTCCCGGGAATGTCCAGAGCTGTGAGTGTCTTCTCTCTCAACGGGGTGGGGGGGCTGGGATCTTGTTGGTCAATGTCAGGCTCTCTTCAAGGTGTGTATGTGTGTGGTGGGGGGGGGGGGGGGTCTTGTGTTAGTCGATGTCAGGGTCTCTCCGTGGAGGGAGCCAATTTTTGTGTTGCCTGGGGCAGCATGAAACCCAAATACACCATTGACAGGAATCCTTAATACACCATAATAGGTGGAAGCGCTATTTTATGTAACACAAAGGTGTCCTGGCAAGGTGTTTTGGTGTACCATTAGGCTAGGTTCACATCTGTGTGGGTGGTGCAGCTGCGGATCCGCATGAAAATCCGTGCAGCTGCACCACCTGCATAGAGAAATGCGGACCCTCGGGCGGGTGCCATTAATTCTAATGGCACACCGCCCGCACTGGAAAATGCAACCGTACTGGGAACCAAGGTTCCTGTGCGGGCTGCTTTTTTGGAAGAAGTGCAGGGGCTTCTTCCCTGTGTGGCACGGGAGTCCATTCAAATGAAGGGGCTCTCGTGCCCACGCAAAACACAGCCTGCATGGCCACATATATGTGAACCAGGGCTTAAGAATGAACGGAACTATAATGCACCAATATCTGCACAACAGTGTGCACCCAGCCTTACAATTGATAGAACCAGTGGACAGGTTTGAAAAGCATGGCTTTAGTGCAAAGGAAAAAAAAAAAGAAAGAAAAAAAATTGTATTATTTACCTGGCATGAAAAATGGCAGCTAGGTTTTGTTTAATGCCACCAGTTCTTTTTTCTTTTTTTGAATATCAGAACTAGTGGCGTTTGTGAAATTTTATGGTTATTTCTAACTATCCTAATAATGTACTAACATGAAGAATATTTTTTATACTTTTTTAGGGCCCACAGCAGTGTCAAACTAAACAAAAACTCTGACTCTCAACTACAGTAATTACCATGTCACTGTTAATAGCTAGAACAGTCACCCAAGACACTAAGCTCAATGTCACGAATATGACCAATTTCCTCTATTAGCGCATCAGTCATTTAGTGTTCGGATTAGTTGCTTAGCACAAACCGGTTGAACCTCATTGCCAAATCAAGTATTTTATAGATGTCAATTATCACATTCTTTCTAAAATTGATCTTAAAACAGGGTTCTTTTTACATGTGAAATGCAACCAACAAAGGCTTGGTATTTAAAAAGGACATTGGTTTCTAAGAAAATAACAGATAACATAATATAATAAGCTGCTTCTTTTCCATTAAATCCAAGAGCAACAACAAAAGAACAAGGTGATAGTATAGAATACTCATTTGCGCACTATAACCCGATAATATTTTTACCACGTGTTGTATAACTCAAAGGCTTATTTAAAGTGTTACTAAACCCACAACAGTAAAATCAGTCTGTATATGCAGTAAAGCATGCTTGTTATACTCACTGTGGAACCTAAGGGGTTATTACCATGAATTGTGTAAAAAGTCAGTTTGATCCTGTTTTCTCTGATCCTCCCCTTCTTTTACTGTCCCCAATCCATTCGCCATAGTACAGAGCAGCAGTGGCAATTCTGCACATGCTCAGTTTGGTGTGTATTGATAAAGAGGTTTTTTTTTTTTTTTCCCTTTTGGAGAGTGCATGTGATCAGCACAGGGCCAATCAGCACTGTCCAGACTGAGGGTCAGGGTCCTGCAGCCTCATAGGGGAGAATGAAAACTCCTCCTATCTGCTTTAACCAGTGATCTGGTAGAACACTGATAGAAGTCACAAGACTTCTCCAACTGCTGATGAGAAAAGGTATTTAGCAGTTTATAAAATTTTTTTTGGGAGGGTGTATGTGATTGGAACAGGGCCAATCATGCTGTCTAGAAAGAGGATCAGGAGTCAGAGAGCCTTAAAGGACAGCCAGAGGTTGAATTAAAACTCTTCCTACAAGATTAACCAGTGCTCAGCCGTACATTGATAGAAATCACAAGACTGCTATATCCTGCTGATAGGAAAAGGTATTTAGCAGTTTACATTTGCTAAAATAATTGCATTTCCATGTTCTGTGTACTGTGGAAGACCGGATATAGTGAATGCAGAGTCCTGGGTTTAGTAACACTAAGAGCGTCTATTGTCTACTGACAGCAGCACCAGCAATTGGGGGCTGACCGTCCAGTCACAAGATTTCAGATCAAAGTTCACCTTTACAAAACAAAAAAAAAAACCCCAAATAAACAAATGCACACTTTTTTTTTATTTTTGAAGGTAAAAAAAAATATGTATTTACAATTTTTTCTTAGGCGTCTGCAAGGCATTGCACCAGTGATCAGCAGATCACTGGTGCCATGCAGGACACCTGCAGACTGTCAGCGTAAGGCAGTCTTACACTGACAGAAAGAACCAATGAACTATCAGAGCATTCAATGGCACTGTGGTAGTTCATTGAGAACTACAAGCTGACATCCACATAGGCTGTCGGTACTTGTAGTTGATTAATTCACAGAACTCTGTGACTGAATGATGCGGCTATGTGGGCGGAGCTCTGCACGGACATGTTCTTTTCAAAAAGTGACAGCTGGTACAGGGAACTTCTTCCTGTACTGCTGTCACACAGACGACTCGGATCACTGAGCCGCTGCAGGAGCGAGAACATGTTAATGTTCCATCCTAAAAATGGGTAGTCCATGTAACATGTTCCTGAAGGTGAACGTATCCTTTGATACTAATGAGGCATGAGCACTTGTAGTAAAAAGGCTATTGCTACAATGCATACTACAGAAACTCATGAAAAATCCCTAGGTTCCTGTAATTATTACAGAGAGAGAAGCACCAATAGGCAGGGCTAAATGTGAAATGCCAAAACAAAATAGAATTTTTACACTTTGTAATCTGTTGAACAGACAGGACCATAGAAAGCACTATTTGCACTGCCCTGGCAGACAATCCTCTTATATTTTCTAACCAATGCAAATGAAAAAGTGTATCTTAAATCAAAACTTTCTATTTGAATTTTAAATACAGTGGTTAGAACCCCTGGCAGGTTTTTACTGCCGACTTTGTTACACCTGTGGAGATACCCCCTCTCTATTTGTCCTCTTTACTACTTTTATAATGACTGAATTGAAGACAAATCCATAGTTTATGTTATCACTAGAAAAGTGGGGACACCCACTCAACTGTTCTCTCACTTCCTGTTGTGTCTACAAGACAGGAAGTAAAAAGGAAATCTTTTAAATGGGACTCCGATTGCAGAAAAGTAAAGCCTGGCAGGAGTTTCATCCCTTCCCTACTCTATATAAAAATAAAAAATATATACTTTAAGTGCAAAAAAAAAAAATTGGTTTATATGGGCAACAGAAAAAGGTAAATTGCTTTCAGAAAGCTAATCAACAATTGAGGATGTCAAGATAAAACAACTTTGCTGGAAAAAAAAAAATTCTTAAAGACACAGAAAGGAGCTGGAATGTGTAGGAGGTCAGGCACAGGCCATGTCTGGGGACACTGCTTAGCTAATAAGTGCACTTGTTTTACTTGCCTGTTTGCGTTACACTTCCATTAATGACCTGTAATTCAACCAGTTGTGATGAGACTAACATGAGAGAGAAGTTCAGTGGTTATTTCACTACGTTAGGAAGGAGATGGATCTCCAAAGTGTCAGCTCTGTCAAGGCCAGGTCATGAAAACAGAAGATATGACATTTTCTAAAAACTGGGTCATAAAGCATGCATGTGACAAATTACAATGGACAGTAATATAAGCTCTCAGTCTTTCAATTGCTGAAAATCCTGACTACTGAAAATGATTAAACATTGTGGCATGACAACAGGGTTGACAGAAGGAAATACTAGGCCCTTCGTCACAGAGGAGCCCAACTCTGACCTGAGAGCTTGTTTTCATCTCCTCTGAATGTACCAATGGAAGCGTTGCGTTCTGTGCTTACCAGCTAGAACAGTGTTGTCCAACTCAGTCCTTTATCGGGGAAGTAAACCCACTCTGGTATCTTTTACATACAGCTAAGTCTTTAATAAGGTTTACCTGTAGGTACTATAAATATCACCTAAATGTGCACCGTTTAGGAGATAATTAGTGTAGCAGCATGCACACTGCGCTCTCAACGGACAAAGTGCCACCCATTGAGAGAGCCACACTGCGGACGAAACTCCACATGTATGGGGGTGACAACATCACGTCTTGGTCAATCAGATGGCCACAGCTCACAAACCTGGAAAGACCGGGTGAAGATGTAATGACAACGCTCCACTGGAGGGCTTAATTTTCAGGTAAGTCTTTCATAATGTACTAGTATGTGATGTATACTAGTGCTTTATGATCTGAATTTGCAGGGGGATGATTTTTTAGATTTTTTTTTTTTTGGCAGTTTACTACTGCTGTAAGGTCATGATTCTGTCACAGTTTAAAGACTTCTGGAACTCCGGCCAAATATTCCCGTTTCCCAAATTTCCAGAGTGTGTTCTCTAGATGTTCCTCCAGAGAATCTGCTAGTGGCTGACGATACTGCCAGCTGCTTCCTAATGGATACTCTCGTGCAAAAGTCTCCAAACTTTCTAAAAAAAGCGCCAGTTTCCTGTCATTCAGGTTTTATGGGGGGCAGACTGTGGCCTGTGGGAGAAGAACATGCCTCAGCGTCAGTGGAAATAAACACTGCCTCATTCTTGGGAGGAATAGTGTTCCATCGATGGTGTCAGAGGGAGGAATAGTGCCCCATCAATTGTGTCAGTGGGAGAACTAGTCCCCAAGGACCAGATAAAGGCAAGCAAAGGGCCACATCCGGACCATGGGCCACAGTTTGGAGACCACTACTCTAGTGGAATATATTGAAAATGCCCTGCAGAGAGAGAGGAAAAATGTGTACACTTAGCTTATAACAATACCATTCTTCATAAATTAAATAAATAATATTTCAGCTGAGTTCCAATTTAACAGTTTGCAATGAAACAAGAATTATTTCACAAGAAAATCTGTCAATTTGGCCCAAAATTCTGGTCTGAAGTTACTGGACAGTCTTGACCTAGACAGTACTGTCTGACACACTCTCTACAGCAACCAATCTCACCCAGGAATCCTTATGAGGTTGTTAGGGGTTCCTTGGGCTGGGGCTGACTGACCTCCCATCTCATGGTGCCTGTCTAATCCTAGGTTCAATGCCTGCCTAATCCTAGGTTCAACACAGCAGAGCCAGTACCTGTTTGTAAGGGGGCCATTCTTCCCACTAACCACTGATACTATGATAATTTTTATCACTGACCTACTCAATTTTAGCAGAGGTTCCCTGAATCCTGAAAATTATTTCAAGGGTTCCCCTGGAGTAAAAAGAAAAAGGCTACTCTAAATAATTTGTGTGTATCTTTGTATTATGAGGCTTTGTTTTATATTCTGCATCAGAGGCTTGAAGACCTAAGTGATGCCCCTGGACAAGGGACCATTAAACTGCAAAATTAAGTCCTGCGAGATCACTTCAGGCTGGCCCCTTTTGCAGGTATAGCTATGTAAAACATTAAAATTAAGTGCCTATACGGTTTTAAATCCAGCAATACACAGTCTCACTCTGCTCTGCACATGCTCAATTGCTCTCTATTTTAGGTACTGTGCCAAAAATGTATAGAATAATCTGCTGACAGCCTAAAGATTTACTGCTGCTAAGGGAATCTGGGCTTCAGCAAAATTGAAGCCTGTGGCAAGAAGAAACAGGAACATTGCTGGAGGCAATTTACAGCAAACACTAATTTCAGAAGCATAATTATTAATGTGGAATGTATGTTCCTTGCTAATGAACATTTATTTTTATGGATATACTTCCGCTTTAAAGTGACTGCAAAACAAGGCAAACCAAATAAAACATATTTAAACTCAAACAATATACTGACAAAGCAATTTCCTGCACTATTATGAAGGATCAGTAAAATCTGGGCTGTCCAACTGTTACTGTAATAAGCCATATGATTAGCTATAGTAAGCACAGCAGAAATATAACACATGAACAATAAAGAATGCTGACATGTGAAATATGACATTACTGCAATGAACAGAATTGTAGCTTAAATTACAGCTGTAAAATGTGTAAGGGGCTCTTTGTGAACAAACAGGATCAACTCCACTTTACAAATTGGTACCCCTCCCTGTGTGGCTGTTGTGCCATTCAACAATCATCTGCCATTGTTCAGGCTGCTCCTAAATTATATGAATTCTGATTGGTTGTTATGGGCACCTGTTCTTTATACTTTTGTGCTGTATATATTCCCTCTACAGATTGGGAATGAATAGGCATGGAGTGCTGACAGTTCAATGGGACATCTGAAATATACTGATATGACAAGTGACACAGGACAAGTGCATTGTACAAGCTGAGTTTTCTTTGTATGAAAGAAAATAAAGGCATGCATTTAAAAGCTCAGTGGAAGTAAAATATATACCTGTGCATCGATGATTTTTTGCTTTGCATCGATGACAGCCTGCATCTCTGCATGATCCTTCTTCAGTTCCTCCTCTACTGCTATTAGCCTGGAAGGGAAAAGATATGACATGCGTCATCTGAGTCCTATACATATACAAAACCGTGAGAGGATGAGATCTATGGCCGGGGCTCACCTGCTGATGACACTTTTCATTTGGCTGTCCTTTTCCTCCTGCTGCCGACGCAGCCGCTCCTCACTGTCCTCCAACCGAGATTTGTACTCCATCAACAGTTTCTGCATCTGCTGTTCCTGCACCAGGAGGCGCCGCTCATATTCCTCCAGGCGACGGCTGGAAACCTTCAGTCGTTCTTTAAGCTTGGCAATCTCTTGTTCATACTGAAAAGACAAGACAGGTTTTATTGTCAGGAGGCAAAAATACTTTGGTAGACTTCATGGTGTCTGTGTGTTGGTGTATGTCAGAGTGTGTGTGTTGGTGTATGTCAGAGTGTGTGTGTTGGTGTATGTCAGAGAGTGTGTGTGTTGGTGTATGTCAGAGAGTGTGTGTGTTGGTGTATGTCAGAGAGTGTGTGTGTTGGTGTATGTCAGAGAGTGTGTGTGTTGGTGTATGTCAGAGAGTGTGTGTGTTGGTGTATGTCAGAGAGTGTGTGTGTTGGTGTATGTCTGTGTTGGTGGGGGGGGTGAGCTTGGGGTGGGGGGGGTGTGAGCTTGTGTGTTGGGGGTGGGGGGGGGGGGTGTGGGCTTGGGTGGTGGTGGGGGGTGGCTTGTGTGTGGGGTGTGGCTTGTGTGTTGGTGGCTTCAGCTTCAGCACCACTTCCATGTGATTTCTGGTACAGACTTTTCCCACCCTGCACTAAGCTTGTAGTTTGTAACCCCTTAAAAAAGCTTAAAATGATGCCACGCAAATATTCTAACCGTGCAAAGGTGATGAGCTATGTGTATACACTTTCAAGCCTTGTAGGTCCAGTTGGTGAAAACGAAATATCCTCTCCACTGAGCATGCACATCTAAGACAGCATTTTCTAGGTAAAGTGAGGTGTGGACTTAAGGACCACTGGAAAGAAGGATAAGGCCAGTAGAAATAGGATCGAATGGCAAGTGTTCCAAGAAATTTCACTATGAACTTTCTAATTGCAAAGCAACTGCGATTCTGTTCCAATTAGAGTGCCTTGAAAAAGTATTCATACCCCTTGAAATTGTCCACATTTTGTAATTTTCCAACCAAAAACATAACTGTATTTTACTGGGATTTTATGTGATAGACCAACACAGAGTGGGCACATAATTGTGAAGTGGAAGGAAAATGATAAATTGTTTCCAAAATTTTTTTAACAAATGAATGTGTGAAAAGTGTGGCACACATTTGTATTCAGCCCCCCCGAGTCAATACTTTGCAGAACCACCTTTCACTGTAATTACAGCTGCAAGTCTTTTTGGGATGTCTCTACCAGCTTTGCACATCTAGAGAGTGATATTTTTGCCCATTCTTCTTTGCAAAATAGCTCAAGCTCTGTCACATTGGATGGAGAGTGTCAGTGAACAGCAATTTTCTGGCAAAGTCTTGCCACAGATTCTCAATTAGATTGAGGTCTGGACTTTGACTGGGCCATTCTAACACATGAATATGCTGTGATTTAACCATTCCATTGTAGCTCTGGCTGTATGTTTAGGGTCGTCCTGCTCCGCCCCAATCTCAAGTCTTTTGCAGACTCTAACAGGAAAATCTCAAGGGGTATGAATACTTTTTCAAGGCACTGTAAATTAGCAGAAGCCTACTTTGAATATGTCTACCAATAATAATTTAATTGTTGATCTCATGGTGTACAAGGAAAAGTGGCAGTTAGGTACATTATAGTAATGCTGGTTTTAGCATACACTTATTGGATGTCTGAGGCTGTCCTATACTGTTTAAATTTCACCCTGGTGGAGCAAGGATGTAGTGCAAAGAGTTAAGCCAGCCATAGATTTGAGAAAATCACAGCTGGTTGAGGAAGGACTGGCCAAGATTGAATCCATGTATGGGCAGGCTGGATCGACGTTGATCGACTCCAGTACCAGCAACCTGTCATATTTTCGGCATGTGGTTAGTGCCTGCAGCTATAACCACTAGCAGTAATCATTATGTTCTGCTACAAGGGAAGGCTTCCCACCTATAGAGCACAACAGTGCTGCAGGAGGGATTCCTCCATCAACACTGACTGTGCTGATGGGGGAATCAAGCTATTTTCTTTCCTGCAACCCCTGTTTAAAGGAAAGAAAATTACATAAGCTATGGCTTGAACAGAGTTATATGAGATACCAGCGATTATGTTTTTTTTAACCTTAAATCTCATTGTGAATTAATCCCCTAAGAAATTCACATATCACACAGCCAAGGGCCAGGCTTAAACATATAGGAACATCCCTGTATGCATAGAACCAACAACATGACACGCCTGGGCTAAGTCACGGCACTCAGTGAGTCAAATCACAACAGAGAACAGAAAACCACATCTACCATATAAAGCACAATAACGCAGGAATTAAATCTGCCCAGGCCTCTTTACCTTTTCAGCAGGTTTGGCTTCATCTTTGTTTTGGTCCAAGGTTTCCTCCTCTTCATCCTCATACTGACCATTATTAAGTACCCAAGCTGCTGTTCTTTCCACCGGGGACATTGTGGCTGAGTCCACTGGAGACTGTACCTGGAAAATCACAACAGTGGTTAAAAGATGTAATTATTTCCCATATTTACAGTTTGGTCCACACCTTCTACTGATTTTGCGTAAACCAGTCATGTAACAAATATATAGGCTGCTGCTGATTCTCTCCTTCTGAAGATGCCTGGCTTACCTGCTGATGCTTTGACTGCAATGTTTTGAGTTATGGATCTTTTTTTTCTGGGTCTGAGACTCAGAAATATGGAACCAAGCATACCAGGAAAGCTAGAATGTTCCAAATATGACTGGTCATAAAAGGTATTATACAGTGTGTATTAATCATACTATTCCATCTATGCTAAATATGTGTGTGTGCGCGTGTGTGTGTGTGGGTGTGTGTGTGTGTGTGTGTGTGTGTGTGTGTGTGTATGTATGTGTGTGTGTGTACGTGTGTGTATGTGTGTACACGTGTGTGTATGTGTGTACGTGTGTGTGTGTGTGTACGTGTGTGTGTGTACGTGTGTGTGTGTACGTGTGTGTATGTGTGTGTGTGTACGTGTGTGTATGTGTGTACACGTGTGTGTATGTGTGTACGTGTGTGTGTGATTGTGAATTACCCACATTCAACTAGAGCATCTTTGGGTATAGGACTGTGTATATGGAGGTTTTTATTGGTTTTTTTTTTTGGGGATTGGTTCAATAAGGGCTCGTTCACAAATGACTATTTCTAACTCTTGCCAAATGCCCCTATAGCATTTGACAAGCGTTAGACAGGTGTTTGATAAGCATTTTTAACGCTCCTCAAATGCCCCATGTGCGATTTTGAAGTGGTTGATAGGCATTTGCCAAGTGTTAAAGCCGCACCACAAATTCTTATAATAAAGTTAAATAGTCTTAACGCTCCGCAACCACCTGGCAACCGCGTTGCAACTGCACCGTAAATGCCTGCCAGGCGTTTGCAGAGTGGCACCATAGACTTGAATGGGAGGCTTCAACTCCTCCTGACTAAACACGAGACGTCCGTTTTGCGGTGACACAAAGCAACTTTAACTCTTCAGTGTGAACAGCACTGTGTGCTGCCATGTGCAGAATTTTCATAGGTGTTTGAGAAGCGTTAAAAATGCTTCCCAAACACCTGTCTGACACCTACTGAGAAAGCTTGTGTGAACTAAGCCTTAGATGCATTTGTGTCATTTTTTTCAATGTAACTATGTAATGCTGCTAAACTGACTTTTATGAAGACCTTATAACTGGGTATAGTAGGGAGATTTAATAAAACTGGAGCTCTCAGAATCTGGTGCAGCTGTGCATGGTAGCCAATTAGCTTCTAACATCAACTTGTTCAATTAAACTTTGACAATAAATGCTGTTTGGTTTTTATGCAGAGCTGCACCACATTTTGCAAGCTCCAGTTTTAGTAAATCAATCCTATAGTGCTCTCTGGTCCTTTGACACCATATTTTGCAGGATATGTTCACTTAGAACAACTAAGAAGGAAAGTGACCCCAAAATGGGCAGCACAGTGGCTAAATGGTTAGCACTTCTGCCTGGCAGTATTAGGGTCGTTGGTGCGAATCCCAGCCACGGCACCTCCTGCCTGGAGTTTGCATGTTCTCCCTGTACGGGTTTCCTCTGGGTATTCCAGTTTCCTTTCACACTTCAAAGACATGCTGTTAGGTAAATTGGATCCTGTCTAAATTGGCTCCTAGTATGTGTATGTATGAATGTAAGTTAGGGACTTTAGATTGTACACCCCTTGAGGGTTAGGGACTGATGTGAATGTACCATATATATGTAAAGTCCTGCATAAATTGATGGCGCTATATAAGTACCTGAAATAGGTAAATAGATAATAAAATGTGGCAACTAAGATCTAGAAGTCTAAATAAACGTTTCTCGGTATTACCTCTAGAAAATGCTCTAGAGGGCGCCAATGCATAAACAGATCGTCACAATCCAAGCTAATTCTGAATGAACATTTGCAATCACATCGGAATTTCATATATTTTTATGACCAAATGTCTGTCAGGATACTTGTGTTCATGTTTCTAGCAAATCAAAATACTGGATCACCTTAGAAATATAAGATGAATGCAAACTCCTATTCTAGTATCATGAAGTACATAGGAAGTGACGGGTGCAGTAAATATTGAAAGCATAACTTAGGCAGCAATAAATAGTGACTACTATGTGTACAACATATTTTTAGACCTTCTTCATTCCCTAGGTTTAATAGGATAATTACTCTTGTAAACAATGAGTTCCTAAATGTTAAACCAATAAAAATAGAAGAATTCAAGATTTATGAAACTGATCACCTACGCAAACAGCAACCTCACTGACTGTAATAAACATATGAAGTGGAAAAGAAGGACAGATCCCAGCAGCAGTGTTCTGTAGGGAGGAAATGGATTCCTAGCATCCTGCACAGAGAATAGGGAGGAGACACTATGCAGCATTCTTTACAGGGACAGGTTCAGTATTATTACATAAAACAGAAGGGAAGGAGATGGATTCAGAATATTCTGTATGGAGGTGGAAGAGACAGAATCATCAGCATTATAAATGGGAAAAGTAGAAACTATACTGCAGAATTCAAGAAAAAACAGATTTCAATGAATCATTTTTTTCAGATCATGACTTCTTTAGTTAATAATGATTTAAGATTTAAAGACAAGCATGCCAAGGGCAGCAATAAAGGTTAAATGAAGTATTTAGGAACACATGTCTCCATCTCACACTTCGTTTAACATTTTCATATGACAATCCTTACAGTCCAGCTTTTTTTTGCTGGAACACAATACAAGACTGCTCACCTGCTGTGTTTGCTGGCGATGAACGGCTCGGAGCTTTGGAACAGGACTCTCACGGGAAGAGGTTGATTGTTGTCTGGACCGGTTCCCATTCTGAACAGGCTCCGCTAGCAGTGTGGCAGAAATACCAGACATGCTGCCCGTGCTACGTATAGAGGCACTGTGTGGCAAAGACTGGGGGGCCTTGGCTCGAGCCCCCAGAGCTGCTTGGTCAGTCTTCCGGATCTGGGCTTGCCCCGTGCTATTCTGGCGTGGCAGTGCTATAGGAATGGGCCTTTCAGGCATAGTGTGCCGCCTGCTGAAGTCCTCACTTTGTGTACTCCTTTTAGTGAAGTCTTCCATGCTGCTATTGCTGGGTCCACTAAGGATAAACTCTTCGCTGTTGCTCTGGCTCCGTGAGCTGGCAGTGCTTAGGTTTTCAAGGCTTGAGTCCACTGAAGCCTTGGGCATGGTGGGTGGGGGGTTATTGAGATGGTAAACAGGGTTTTGGAAAGACAGTGGCTGCAAGCTGTTCTGCTGACTCAAAGCTGGGTGTAAGGGTCTCCTGACCTGAGGAGCACTCTGTGGTGTGCTCTGGCTGTCTCGCAGTTGCTTTATGGTGGCTATGTGTGCAATAGACAACTGGCTGCCAGTTAAACGCAAAGGTGGCTCCTGAACGACAGAGGAACGCTCACTGTGATTCACAGTAGAGTCTTGCAGGTCCATCAAGGAAACACTACGTCCATTAGGAAGCACATTTTCTCTTTCATCTTTATCTGAGTAAGACATGCTTTGGGTAGAGGCCTGTTGGACAAGCAGTAACGTCTTCCCCCTGAAGTAGTCTTGGGTTTCAATGGTTGGAGACTTCAGCTTAAGAAGGTCACTACAAGATAAAAAAAAAAAAGATATGCATGGTCACTTTGATAAGCTACAAAAAGGGCAGAAGGAAAATCTACATCTTTATCTTAAAGTGTTAATAAACCCAGGACCCTGCAGTCACTATATCTAGCCTCCCAAAGTACACAGAATATGGAGATGCAATTCTTTCTGTAAATATAAACTACGAAATACCTTTTCTGATCAGCAGTTGGAGCAGTCTTGTGACTTATATCAGTGTCCAGCAGAGCACTGGTGATAGCATGCAGGAGGCGTTTTCATTATCCCCTAAGAGGCTGCAGGACCCTGACCCTCAGTTTGGACAGTGCTGATTGGCCCTGTGCTGATCACATGCACTCTCCAAAGGAAAAAAAAAAAAAAAAAAAAAAACCTTTCTAGCAATACACATCAAACTGAGCATGTGTAGAGTGACTCCAAATCTCTGTTCTATCAAAAGATATTGAGGGGACAATAGAAGAAGGGGAAGATCAGAGAAGAGGATAAAAAATACTTGTTACACAATGTGGAGAATTAACCCCTTAGGTTCCACCGTGAGTATAACAAGCATGCTTTACTGCATATACAGACTGATTTTTACTGTTGTGGGTTTAGTAACACTTTAAGAAGAATTTATGAGGGCCTTGAATTTATAAAAGTTTGCTTTTTTATTTTTTTAAACATAATAGGTTTAAAAATTCCAGCATTTCACAGATCGGTGCCTAGAAATCTGTAGGATTACTTTTCTATTGCTGGTGACTGCACAGCAACTGACTTTTATAGGTGCATGCAAAACAGACTTCTTGCCTTCGGTAAAAGAGGGATATTCAAAGGAAAATCTACAGGTTATATTCCGTACCTGATATTTGCACTGGTAAATAAATTGTGTCCTAATTACTTAATGTATTCATGAACAACCTGGAATTCAAAAAAGGTTCTTCCATAGCATTTTTATTTCTTAATAAAAGGTCTGAAGGACTTTCAACTCTTTCCTGATTGTAATCTGATGAGTGGTGTTGCTTTGCACAATACCCTGTGCTGAAGGAACATTAATCCATGAAACTGTGAGCAGCTGCTACTGGTTACGTTCAGCTGTCACCGACAGCTCTGGTCTTCTTTAACATTTGGGAATTACAGTGGTTCTCTTCACGTGATCACTATTGTCAGCTATGACATAGCCATCACATACAAGCTGGAGACTCCACTCACAAAATATACCTTCAGCCTGCAGATGACACAGCAGACTGAAAATGGCGGTGTGCTTCAGTTTGCTAATAATAATACTTTTGAGTACAAATTTATTTTTTAAATACAATAAAAAAAGTGGAAAGAAAAAAATAAACATTTTTATTTTCTTCACATCTGCATTTGTCAGGAAAAAAAAAGTGTTTTTTTTTTTTTTTTAAAAATTAAAACTAAAAGGCTGATACATTCAAGCCTGGGCACCTAGGCGTTGCAGACTCTTGGCTATGATAGGGTTAATAACCAAAAGTTGCTAACATATACATGTAAATCTGTATTTTGCTTAGAATCGTATTCCTCAACCAGAAATCAATTCTGTATTTGAGTTGTTTGCTTTTAAAACCTCAATTATCTGAAGGACTGCATTTTCTTCAATGGAGCCATCTGATACGTTATTGCTCATCCACTTGTGTGTAATTTTCTACTTCAGTTATTGAGCATGTAAAAATGGGCTTTTTCATCAGTGCAGTCACCATAAGTACAACTGGTACTGTCCAAAGCAAAACACCTTGCCTAGGTTGCCCTATTTTACATAGAATACTTTCTTGCTTTACTGGAATGTTCCTGGCTTAGAATATTAAAAAAAAAAAATATATATATATATATATAATATACATATATATATATATATATATATATATACGCGAGTTACAACATTGTATCTCTGTTGATGATGGGAAAACAATGTGGTCAATAACCACACAGGAAAAAGATGCCTCTATGTCCTGGCTACCTAAAGGCACAGGCCGTCTTTGCCAAATGCTAAACTGAGCCCTGGTTTGCAGAAATTTGTGCACACAAAGAAAACTATTTATCCAACAGGCCAGGCTGGAGATCAATAAAACAGAAACCTACAAGTAGGATTTTGAAAAATCAGTTATTCAGTCTGATCATACTACAAATAAAAAATGAATTATACTTACTTGTCAGCAGGATCCTCAAAAATCTTCTGAAGTCCGGAAGAGAGGCTTCCACTTACATTTGGACTGGAGCTATGCTCACTGAACCGTCGCAGCTGCTGCTGGATGGGAGTGGGATTGGTCAGAGATTTGGTGATGTCAGCAAGGATGCGCGGCAATGGTCCCAGTTTTTCCACGGTGGCCTGTAGGAAGGAATTTTCACCCTGATTGGATAATATGCGTGGAAACATCCGCCAAAGTGATGGGGAAGGCCAAGTGGGGTTCGGAGGGCAGGTGTTTTTTTTTTTTTTTTTCATATGAGTGTGTGAGCGCATGAGGCATGAGCGTAGAGCCGAATTATCAACCACGATGTGACGGATGGAGGAAGACGGGGTGCAGCCAGGCATCGGGGTAGGAAAAGGGGGAAGGGGAGAAAAGGAAATAGAGAAGAAATTAGGATTGCTCAAAACCAGAAAGAAATTAATTCATGCTTAACGTAACTAAAACTATGCCATTCCAACTGAAAACAGACATGCAAAGCTACGTACTACAACAAAACGCAAAAAAAGAAGAAGGAAAAGGATTGTGTTTGCATCCAGACATTACATGGGTTAAAGGTTAAACATGGCAGCATGCGCACATTTTAGACAAAGGAGGGAGGACAGAAAGGTGATCAGAGTTACTGAAGAAGAAACAGGGATCCAAGGAATCAGCCAGGTGTTCTTTTTTTGGTCTGTTAGAGACACCGTTGCCCGTGATCTTTGAAGGCAGGACATGTGTGGACTTTATGTAAAACAAGGTGATCAGAAAAGGACACATCAACCAATGAGATAATGAGGGGGTTCCAGACACCACAACACATGGCTAGCAACAGTACCACATATCAGAAAACACAACAAAAATAGATCAATTGTTGGAAAACCCAGTATGGCCCACTTTAACAATCAACTTACCAACGTTTGCTAAGGAAAAGAATCTGGTCAATACACAGCATATGGTGTAAATTCATATATATATATATTTTTTTTTAACAGCTTTTAGTATTACGGTGAAATGATTGTTAATTGTACCAATTGCCTATAAACAGTTCAGTCCACAGTAGCGGGCTTTGCTGACCTACATGAGTGTCTCTGCCCAGGGTGCTTATTCCCTGGAAGGCAAGTCTGCTCCTGAGGATTAAGTGACATTACTACTGTGAAATTCACCATTTCAAATGATAAAGAACATTGAAAAGTTTAACCTTCTTTTAATCGTTGGGGTCATGGACACATGGTTGGTGACAAATAGGTGGGTTCTGTAACAAAGAATGTTCACGCAAGCCTAGAGCTACATAATCACTTAATAAAACCCTAGATATGACTGCTTTCATCGCGTGTGGGGGATGGGTATAATGTAATGCTGAGGTTCCTCTGAAAGTTCCTCTGAAAAAAAATTTCTATTTAAAAGCAGCATTCCAAGCTACCAACTTTTTAATTTATCTACAAGCTTCTTCCCTTGAAGCTTGTTCGTTAAGCTGGCCATACTAGCTCAATGGAGAAAAAAAAAACAAAAAACATGTCCCCCATCCACAAACAAGGTGGATGTCAGAATCTCCCTTGCTGGGACATTGTATACGGACAGTGGGACCCGCAGCTGTCAGAAATCACAATTCAGTGGCTGAAGTTATTTGTCCAAGAAAAATTTTCCAACATGTCCCTGTACCAGAAGTTGATAAAATGACCGACTTCTGTCAGGCGAATAGATGGACACACACTGAAATTTGTCTGGTCCCTGCTGAATTTTGAGCAGTGTATGGCCAAATTCAGTTCTAACTATATGTTTATTAAATATATATTATACAGGAAATGTTTCCTCTCCAAAAGGGTCCCTTTGGGCATCTTGTCAGTTCAACAGGATCCTTCTAAAAGCATGTGCTATTGAAAAGCTAACTGGGCTACTGTCTTTTCTACTTAAACCAGCAGTTTCTACAAAGCAATTTTCACTATAGTGTTTACTTGCAGCAAATAAATCCCCCCCACTCCACTCAACAAACTACTGGCTAAGGAGTCGTCTAGAACCCTTGGACCGCTGACCAGTCCAGCAAACTCCAGGATACGATTTACTTTCACCCCCCTCTGCAGTGGATATGATCTTAACCACTTTCCTGCCGTCCTATAGCAGAAGTACTGCTACAGGACGGCAGGGCTGCGCAAAATCATGTATATATACACGTGATTTGCATTTACGGGTTGGGGGCATGCGCGTCACCCTACCCGCTCCACTATTGGCGGCTAGGGATTTCAATCACCAGGTTCCGGCCAGCAGTCAGCGATTGTCGGGTAAAGCTGACGGGGTAGAGACCTGTGTGTAAACAACACAGGTTCTCTCTCCTGTCAGCATAGACATGCTGTTTTGTATCTCTCTGCACAGCAGAAAGATACAAAACAGCATGTCTTCCTAGTAAAACACAGCACACAGTAAAAACACACACAGCCCACAGTTAACCCTTTGATTGCCCCAGATGTTAACCCCTTCCTGCCCAGTGCCATTAGTACAGTGTCAGTGCTTTTTATTAGCACTGATCATTGTATTAGTGTCACTGAGGATGTTCGTGGCAGTTAGTCAGTTCCCAGTGTCAGAATACCTACTGCAGTCCCGCTGTAAGTCGCTGATTGCTGCCATTACTAGTGTAAAAAAAATAAAAATAAAAATTCCAGTATATACTGCCATTTGCAGATGCCATACCTTCCACGTAAACCAATTAATTTTAATGTATTGGGATTTATTTTTAGCAAAGACATAGCAGGATACATTTTGGCCTAAATTTATGAAGAAATTAAATTAAAAAAAAAATTTTTTTTATTGGGTAGGTTTTATAGAAAAAAGTCAAAAATATTGGGTTTTTTTTTTTCAAAATTGTTGACATTTTTTTTTGTTTATAGCGCAAAAAATAAAAAACTCAGAAGGTGATCAAATACAACCAAAAGAAAGCTCTATTTGTGAGAAAACAATGCCATAAATTTAATTTATGTACAGCGTTGCATGACTGCGCAATTGTCAGTTAAAGTAACGCAGCGCCTTATCATAAAAAAATGTCCTGGTCAGGAAGGGGGGTAAATACACTGGAGGGCAAGTGGTTAAAACAAAAAAAAAAAAACGCACACACAGCATGTGCTTCATTCACTCCCTAGTTTACTATTTAATCAATCAGCAGTACTTATTAGTGGCACAAAGTATTCTTCTAAATGTGAAAACGTTCATGCTACTATGTAACAAACCCCCCCCAAAATGACTAAAGCAGAATACATTTCAGTAAACTCACATGCAGAAAAATTGCCTGACTGCATTGGGATTATGTCCCTGTAACACAACCCAATGCAACGTTCATGGAATCCACAATGGCATCAGTTTTACAGGCTTCATTGACAGAATTCATTGACATTGGCAGAATTCATTGACATATATTTGACAGGTTAATTTTTTGACCTACAGCTGACCTCCTTCTGACCTACATTTGAATTTCTTCAAGTGGTTTTACATTTCTATAGACCTGAAGGGGAAAGCAAAATCCATTTGAAACCAACAAAAGGCCACTGACACAGTACTGTGCTGTATAGCACAGATGCATTGGCAGCTATTGTATCCATGCACTAGGAAGTCATTCATTTCAATGTGTAGTACTGCAACACAGGTTTGAAGCCAGCACCAGAGAAAAGGTTTTACCCAAGTAGGAAAAACACCTAAGTCTTATTAATAAAAAAATAAATTCTTAGGATTGAAGACAGCAGAGGTGGATTGCACTGAATTGAATACTAAACATCTTTGACTAATCTTCAATTTTTGTCAGTTTTCTTACTGAAATTAATGTGCGTCAAGTGAAATCAGTAGTGTGGATGGAGGAACCTCACCTGTTGGTTAGTGGAATCTCGTGGTTTCTGTGGCTATCAGGATACCCAAACAGGGACTACATCTGAAAGGATGCAGTTATTGTTTGCCCAACAATTTTCCACCCAGCTCTTTTGATTGTGAAGTCGTAATTTGTCAAACCCAGTGATATTGACATTGCCACTCATGGCTTGAAATTCCGCCGATTTTGCAGCCTTGTATGCTTTCCATGATTCTATGACGGTGTCTTTGGAATAAATAAAAAGCACTAAAGCTTTCTCCTGAAAAATACTGCAGTACACGCTCTGCCATTTATATCACTCAGTCACGGACACGGCTCAATGAGGACATAGTGCTTAAAGGTGGATTTATCTACCTCAAAATAAAACCCCAGCTTCCCATAAAAATGCAGCATTCAGGAAATGTTCATCTACAGCCAGGAATACAGATCCACTGCACAAAATCCCTTATGCTGTTCTACCAGCAGCTTTGCCAATGACATAGAGCACATGCACACAGGGCTTAAAAAAAAAAAAAAAAAAAAAAAAAAAAAAAAAAAAAAGCTGCTTTTACAGGTGTTCAGCATTTTTTGTTTTCTTTTTTTTAGCATGTAAAAGTACCTCTACTTAAGCCTATGTGTCTATGCATTAGTTACTAGAGGAGCAGAGTTTACAAGCTGAAAAAAAAAAAAAAATCAGCACCAGAGTGTTTAGGAGAGGAGCTTTTGGGCAGAAAAAACACTTAAAGCGCATAAATGCAGGTAAACGCACCTAAAAGCTAAGTGCATTTAGCGCTTGAGCATGCATTCATTACAATGGCTAGAATAAATGAATATTCTGGCCAATGGAATTCATAAATGCCAATGGAATTCATAAATGCTAGACGCACCTAAATGCATGAGCAATATGTGGCTTTAGGTATGTTCAAGCTGCTTTACTCCTTGCAGGAAAAAAGGCGTTCAGAGGAGAAACTCAAATGCCCAGTGTGTATGAGGAGTTAAAATGCATCATGGGAGATGTAGGTTACTAGCAGTGTACGTAACTGCTGTTTTATATTTTAAGTAAATGTCAACATCTCTGAAAAGTGGAAACAGCAAATAATGTTTCTACTTTTTCAACCAGGGTCCCTTCAGGTTTCTTCAGGGGTGCCCTGACAAAATGCCTGAAAATAGCCCAAAATTGTATACAAGCCAGTAGGTGGATCAAGCCTGCCTTTTAGTTACAAAAAGTCACAGGTTTTCATTGTGCACCATTACAACCTTCTAGCTGCCAGTGTCCTGACAACCAATGATGCCATTGGTTGATTAGGAGGACATCGGGCCTGTGCACAGTATCCTTGTTTGCTCCTACCCTGCCCCTCTCTATCAGCACTGGGGTCACATTAGCTGAGTGAGAGAAATTGAGGAAGAGGAGAAACATTGGCATACTAGTCAGTATCAGTGTGCCAAATTGTATTTGCTCTGGAAAAAGAAATGACCTCTGACGTTGGTGTCCTATGTGTTTGGTTGTTGCTGCCTTGGCTGAAAAAAGGTTAAAAAAAACGCTGCTCTAAATCATTGATGGCTTCAGATAGCACACTAAAACATCAATAGTTCTATTTTTCTGCAGCATATTACACAAGGTTTTATCGATGGCGATACTTTTTGTATTTGTTAACATTATTATGTCACAGACAGAGAAGCTTACTATTATTATTGGGCTTTTTTAAATCAAACATATTATGAGACAAGAGAGCTGTCATTTGCGGCCTCCTGAAAATGCTTCTGTCTGGCTGCCTCTGGTTTCTGTAAGCTATTGCCTGGCCCAGAACAAGCACATCAAAGGACCGAAGCCAAAAGATCAGGCAAGGGTAACCAGGCAACTAGCATTTTCAGAAGGGACCGTTCAGGTATTTCTCAAGCAAAAGGCTTCTGTGACTGAAGCAGTTATGCACAACTTTGTCTCTGCCATTTGTAAGAAGCCAGAATATAATTCAACTTGAATGACTCAAATGAAATATCACTTTTGGGTCTAGGAAATCTAATACTACAGTAAGTTGTCAGACTGTTCATATATAACTGTGTCTGGTATGAATCATGGCTGCCAAGTCACCTCTGGTCATTAATTTTGTGCCGAAGAGATAAAAATCTTACTAACATGCTTTTATGATCTCCAAAGCTATTTTATAATAGTCCAGATTTTTCATTAAAAAGGAGCCTAGAATTGGAATAGTCTTTGGAATGTGTTACCTTATCTAACTGTGACACCACTTCCCATAGGAGACAATGTAGCACAGAAAGTTCCCGGCCAAGGTCAATGTAGCCTTCAAAGCCTGGAGTGTTAGAGATAGTGTCTGGATTGGAGATTTCTTGCAGGAAGCGTTTCATTCCTCCCCACTCGTGCTCCAAAAAGTCATTCATGAAGGCCATGTATTCTTCCTTATTACCAAATCTGCATCAAAGGACACAATAATCATAAGTAATTACATAAAGGAGATACATTTGTAAAATCCATTAATGATGCCACATGATATCCAATGACAAAGCGGGCAAACACTGGATTGTATTGTCCCAGTACAATGATGATGCTGGACTTTTAAGTGGCGCTGACTTTTATTTTGTCTAGCTGGCTGTCCTGCCAGTTGAATCCCTATAACTTGGTGTGTCTTCATGTTCTGAATGTCCATGAAACAGAGTTTGTGAAATGCAGATCAGTGTGTTCAATGGTTTACCCACTCTCAGAATCCACTGAAGCCTCACCCACACTGGATCATGGGTTCAGGGAATGGAATAATATGACCTGAGTTTGCAGTCAGGCCCAGAAGAATGAAAAGATGACCAGTTCTAGTCCCAAGGGATATATACAGAACAAAAAAAAAGTGCTTTGTCCAACCATGTCATAGCAAAATCTTTGCTTTAATCTAGTGGTATTCCCCGGAAAATAATTACTTTTCCTTTGATTTCTTGCCTCTCCTTTCAGCACCGGAAAAAGTAGGAATGACCTGGTACTTCCAGGTATAAAGGAACATGCAAATTGCTGCATGTGAGAGCATGGGAACAATCAGCATGGTCACATGTAGAGTGTATAAGTTACAACTCCAGTGACTCACAGTTTACATGGGATTTACCTTTGCACCTGGGAGCCGACAATACAATGGTGGAGTGAAAGGGAGAGAAGTATAGTCTGTTGGGGAGGGATACATTAAAGTGAACCTGCTGCACAGAATCAATTTATGTTATTCATACAGTAGATTTTCTCACTTTACCATGCTACAATTTTTTTTCCAACAGAATGATCACTTCACTGATGGGTACGGTTGCCTGGAGATGCTCTTTAAAATATGTCTCAACCTTTCACATATGTAGGTAGCTATGCATAATTATTTCCACAACATATTTAGAAATGGATTCTGTATTTACAGATCCTCACTAAAGGTCAATAATATCGATTAGCAAAAGCTTAATAAAGTATCATTATAACCACTTACTTAGCAAAGTTGGCCAGATTCTGGATTAACCTTTGCAATTAAAGTCAGAGTTCTGGAGGTGCGATCATCAGGGTATTCTTGCATGAGGCCAAAGAGACTCGGAGACATGATCGATGGACACAGGAATCGGAGGAAGAGGGAGGCACTGATCAGTCTCTCACTGATATCCTGCTTCCCCCGGTTAATACACTGCTGTTTCCAAGAAGCAAACACCTCCTTCAACTCCCGGGGGAAAACACTAACAAAATGCAAAGAGAGGTCAGTTACAGGCCCTGCTACTGTCCAGCTATACAACTCTACTGCATGACGAATATTGACATGTTTTGTGAGGGGTGAATCAATTATATGCCCTGCTACTATACAGATATAAAACTCTTAACGCAAAATGGATATTTATGTTTTTGGTGGATACTGGAGGGTGGAACAATTTTACCATTGAACTCCAGTGAGGATATTTCTGTGCTGAATTCCGTGGCATGTACACCAGCAGAAAGCCATTGTACAGGTAGAAAGTAAAAACCCAAAAGTGAGAGGGAGCACCCAAAACTCCAAGTTAGGCCAGAATGGACCTAGGGACTGAGGCTGGGAGATCATTACAGCCTCTCTAAGAAGCCTCTAAGAAGAAGATGACTGATCTTACTGCACTCAACCAATAAGTGGAATATCATTTGGGTGATTCTCATAGTGCCCCTGTACTTAATCACAATTAAAAATAGAGAAGCAGTTTTGGAAACAGGCCCTTATGTCAAAGGCCATGTTTTTTTTTTTTTTTTAAAACAAATACTTCCATGTGCATTTAGCCCATCATAGGGTGACGAAAGAAATGGGACATTAAAACGTACCCCAAGGAAGGAATACAAGGTACAAATAAAAACACGTTTTAATTACTCATTAAAAAAACCCTTTCATGTCGTTAAAATATCATACTATATTCCAGATACTGTATATGTAATCAACATTTAGCACGTTAAAGTCATCAATGCGATTTCAGATCGTGAAATGCGTCAATGACTTAACACGCTAAATGTTGATTTAAAAATTCTCTTTTAAACTTTGAAAATAAAAGCTAGAAGCTGATTGGTTGCCATGCACAGTTGCTCTAGATTTTGGTTGCTCCTATCTTGGTAAATTTCCCTTCAGAGTCTCTATACTGCTCATTACAAATATTTAGCTATATTACTACAGAAAATACTCCTACCAGAATATCTTTTAAGGTATGGATTTCTAGAAGTATAAAAAATGCCACATTGAATTTCCAGACAAGAACCTTACCTCTGAGCTGATGTTGATTACTCACTAATTAACAAATCAGTCTAATATTCACCCTTCTCATCTTCAACCCATATTTATCTCTAGTTATCATTCTGTATTTAGTACTGTTACTAATACAGTTTATTTTGTTCAGTAGTCAAACCAAAATGTATGTTCCTGCTGCCAATTATATGAAAAAAAAAAAAAATACTTTTGCTCACATTTAACATGTTTTCTTTTAAATTATACTGTTTATCAAAACATTGCATGTCGGGGATGCATTTGCATGGCACTCATATTGAGAATTGGAGAAGTAAACGTTTCATACAAGGGGGCTTTGTGTGCTGAAAACAGATCAGGTCATTGTGTGGTAAAAACAAAGATCACATTCAGGCTGACATAAAAAACATTGACACCATCATAATATGGTACTATGACAATGTGACTTGGCCTGGCAAACTGTCAAACCAACATTTCTTCCAGCAGTCCGTTATGTTCCTTACAATCAATCTGTGCTACTTCAGCTGCCGTGGAGCTGTTACTCTGTATTCTAAAGAGAACTGTTTCTACTGCACGTTAGAAACCCAAACCCCCCCCCAATATACAAGTCACAAAAGGAAAATCTATTGTCATTTCTCAATTGGGTTGTTTCTCAGTACAAAAAAAAAAAAAAAAAATCAAACGCTTTGTGGTTTAAAGTATAGCTAAAGGAAAATCCTTTTTTTTTTTTTTCTTTTTAAAGTGAAAGTAAAAGAAAATCCAAAATTTTGGATTGCCCCCAGAAAGATAATAGAGGTTCCAATGGTGACATTAGTTCTGGTGACCTAGGGGGTTCCAAGGGATTCACTTAATTTCCAGGGATTTTAGCTCACTTCTTGTTTTGGCTATGGCTCAGGAAGTGAAGGTAAATCCCCCCATTGGAACACAAATAGCAAAAAAAAAAAAAAATAAACTGACAGGAGTTATAACCCTCCAAAATAGCTCAAGCTCTGTCAGATTGGATGGAAAGCATCTGTGAACAGCATTTCTTCTGGCAAGAGCACGTATTGATGTGCCATCCTGGAGGAGTTGGACTGGCTGTGCAACCTCTGTAGGGTCCATACTACTATTAGTGACACTGACCCTAGCCAAATGCAAAACTAGTGAAAAACAGTCAGAAAAGATGAGTAGGGAAAAAAATGTCAGTGGCCTCCACCTGTAAAAACATTCCTGTGTTGGAGGCAGGGGCGGACTGACCATTCGGGCCCTCGGGCAGTGCCCGAGGGCCCAGAGTCAGTAGGGGGCCCCCATGAAATGCCCTGGTACCTTTTATAGGCTTTTTTGGGTGTGCTTTGAGTGTGGGCAAGGACACAGGGGTCCCACAAGCCCCTATTGCCTGGGGGCCCCATGAGTTGTCAGTCCGCCCCTGGTTGGGGTTCATCTCATTGTTGCCCATCTAGTGCACCTGTTGTTAATTTCGTTAACACCAAAGCAGCTGAAACGGATTAAAAAACCCCCTCTGCTACTTAACTGACCAGATCAATATCCCAGGAGTTTAATTGACTTGATGCTATACTCTGTTAAAAAGTGTTCCTTTACGTGTGCGTGCGTGTGTGTGTGCACATATCATCTGTGCTTTACCTGTTTGCCAGGTGTTCTGCTTTAAATGAATGAATGTCAGGAACACAATTTGATTGTTTATTACAACTTTCACAATTGTAGCATACTTTTACCAAATATCCTATAGACCGCAATTGCCTTGTATGCAAAATTTCTATATAAAATTGTATATATAAATTATTATAAATTTCAAATAATTGTAGACTGAAATGATTTTCTGTTAGTTATGTAAAGTGATTTTAATGTACCAATAATGAAGCAATGTAATTTGTGTTTGTTAAAGTGATTCTAAAGGCTATTTTGTTTTTTTTTTAATACCAAACATGTCATTCTTACCTGCTCTGCTTTGCAAAGGACAGCCCCAATCCTCCTCTTTTGAGGTTCCCCCACTGGTGCTTATGGCCCCTCCCCCCTTCTGAGTGCCCTCATAAGCAGCTTGCTAAGACGGCACTTGTGCGTGCTCGCTCCCAAGCCAGCTGTGTGTGTCCATTGACACACAGAGCATGTCTGGGCCCCACACCCCCATTCTCTCCTCACTGGCTGTGATTGACAGCAGCAGAAGCCAATGGCTCCTGTTACTGTCTGTACGTCCTGTGAGGAGGGAGAGCTTCAGCTCTTGTGCATATTGCTGGATCAATATTGGGCTCAGGTAAGTATTCAGGAGGGTTGGGAAGGAGCTGCATGCAGAAGGTTTTTTTGTCTTAATGCTCAGAATGTAACAAAGTCAAAAAAACAAAAAAAAACCCATCTGCCTTTAGAGCCACTTGAAGTACTACTGGAATATACAAAAGAATATTTGCTGAATCTTCCTTAATTAGCCAATCTACATCCATCCTTGACAAAGCACTATAGATTGCCCTTAAGACAATTTCAATACATCAGGTTTGGCAAGACATATCTCCTATTTGTAACAAAGCCGTGAAATGACTTATTCTGCAGAGCAAAGACTGTCTTACTCACCAGTAAGAATTAATGATTTTACAGAAAGCCAGCTCACAGCACATCTTTAAGTTACTCTGATGCTCGGCAAGTTCGCTAGATGAACATTTACTGGGATCAACCTCACAGTTTTCGTCTGACTCATACAGAGCCTTGATAAACTCCCCTGGAGGAAAACAAAGATATTGAAAAGCTCAGCGAGATATAAATGGAAGAGCACAAGAAGAGAACTCTCTTTATAGAAAGCAATAATGTTCCCAAAAGCACACGAGAAGCTTAAAAAAGGAAAAAAATGCAATAAAGGAAAATATACATTACTCTTGCCAAAATTTGAAGAAGAAAACTTACCAAGAGCGTCATGCAGGTATTTTTGCCCAACTAACTTCAAATATTCTTCAATGGCTTTTGTTGCCAGTGTATTTTCCCTGAAGATTAGGACATCGTGGTCACCACACCTGTCTACCTCCGACATCACCAGATCAGTTAGAAAGTCCTGAGGAAACATAATGAAGATGTTAAGAAATGGGGGTGCTGGTCATGGCTCTATGTATAGATAACCCAATGAAACATCTACTTTTGATCAAAATACGCAGTAACCAATGTAAGCAGATAAAATACAAGTTATCAACTAGAAGCACTGTTCTTCTGCCACCTCAGTCTGACACATGCCTCGAAATAAGAGTCAATTCGACAATTATCATTGCAGTGTCTAATGGACTAGCTGTTATTAAAAGCATATAATCAACCAGCCAGTTTGCTGGCTACCAGGGGTGCATATTTTAGAATTTCTTTTACACACTTACAGAAAAAGATGGCTCATCCCATATGAACCTTCTTGTTGGTTATAAACTAATGAGCGCTTTGATATTTTTATTTTAGTAGGTGTAGAAAACATACATTGGTATTAGTGAGAGTGGGAAAATTCTAGGTCATGGACACTGAAAGTTTTGTGACAACTCAACCATCTGCAAACAATCATTTGAAGGAAGACGTTCTATACTACTGAAACAACAGTTAATTAAACCCCTTCAGGGCACAAAACGTATGTTTTAGGGTGAATTTGCTCTGAAACGATATTTTCACAAAGGAATCAGGGTCTAGCCAAGATGCATTCAAAGCACGTGACTGAATCTCTATAAGAAAGAACTTGGCTTCCATTTGAGCATATCCTTGCTAGTAGCTGCCAAACTGCATTGAACTTTGAGAGGGCAGTAATGTTAGTAATGCTTGGAGCTTCCAATGGAGTATATATTGAGCTCTACAAATGGAAAGTGTATCTTCCTCTACTTGTAACATTATTGTATTTTCCCACAATAGTGTTTGTTAAGAACTGGACCGCTTGCTTGGAGCTTAGCAGTCAGGTATATGATTACATTGAAATGAAAAACAAAGTGCCAAATGATCCATTTTTTGGAACATCTAAACTAGTAAGAGCAATTGGAGGTCCCAGATCAGACTCCACACTGGAGCCTGAAGACCTTCAATTACATTCCTATGAAGTATTTTATAAGCCTGAAAAATTCAACTTCGTTCCCTGTTTTGTCCAATTAAGAAAGCCCTCTAAAAAAGCTGACCTTTGATAGGCACAATAAAGAATTCAAATTATATAAAACAATCTCTTCTGCTTCGGTTTCATATTATAAGAAACAAAATGATAGCTTTTTTAAACATAAAACTGCGGGTCCCAATATCTCTACCCCCACCTTGGTGTTTAATGGTAGCTTCTTTGCTTAGCAGGGTTCCATGGAGTCACCCATTTGCACATGCTCCCATGGTAAGACTGCAGCCCTATGTGAGGATGCTGCCTGTGACAACACTCACAGGCAGCCTGAAAGGACAACACACAGAGCCTCTGTAAATCACTTTCCCATGGAGAAGAAGCAGAGGCATGTCTTCAATGTGTTGTCCTCTCAGCCTGCCTGTGCGTGTTGACATTGGGCATTGAGCTGGCAAGGTGAGACTGTATAAGAACTTTATTGGAATGAATAAGAACTGGACATTGCTAACTCAGGAAAATAAGTGCTGCACAGTCATTTTGCACTCATCTACTATTGCACACCTCAAGGAGGTCTGCCTACTATGTATATTTTCTCAATGGCGGGGCACGCCTGCACACTGGTGCCATACGCGATGGGACCTGCAAACCGGATGAATGAATTCTTGTGAATGATAATGATGTTATGAGTACACACTCCTCAACATTAAGTTTGGGGAAGTAGAGCACAGGAAGCAGTATAATTACAAAATGTGCTAAGGAAAGAATTGGTTACCGAACTGGACTAAAATAATCAATACTGATGTGCTGCTGTTAAAAAAAAAAAAAAAAAAAAAAAAAAAAAAAAAAGACTTTGGTACCACTTTAAAGTAATATTAAAGGCAGATTTTTTTTGAACAACAAATATTTCATACTTACCTGCTGTGTGCAGTGGTTTTTCACAGAATAGTCCCGATCCTCTGCCAGCGCTTCTGGCGCCTCCCTCCTGCCAAGTTTTCCCATAGCAAGCCACGCGCTCCTGAGCCCATTTACACACAGATCATGGCTTGGACTCGCCCAGTGCTCTCTCCTCATTGGCTCAATGGCTGCGATTGACAGTAGCGGGAGCTAATGGCTCCCGCTGTTGTCTCAGCCAATGAGGAGGAAGAGTCCCCAAAGAGCCACTGTTTTTGTGCACATAACTGGATGCGATGGGGCTCAGGTAAGTATTGGGGGGCTGCTGCACGCAGGTTTTTTTTAAAATCTTCATGCATAGAATGCATGAAGTTAAAAAGCTTGAGCCTTTACAACCACTTTAAGAGTATTAAACCTTTTCCTATGCAGAGGCCTAAAACTATATATATTAATGGACAAGGATGTATTAGCTGCATGAGAAGTGTAATGATGACAGGAAAAAAATTGTTGTGTAGTATTAGAAGTTACAATTCCCTGCAATGAGGCTGTTATGATCCCCTTTTTAATATGGGTTAACGTCTTTGAGAGACCTCTGGTTTTTAGTCCCGATCATATCAATGATTTTGAGAAATGCAGACCATGAAGAATGGGCCTATACATTCCCATGAAGTGTTCACAGTTCCTGACCACGTTAGTATGCACCAAATCTAGGACCTCTGTTGAAACTAGCAAAAGGACATCAGGAAAATGTATGTAAATCTCCTAGATTGTAAGCTCGAAAGAGCAGGGCCCTCGATCCCCTCATGTATCGCATTGTATTGGTATTGTTCTGTCACATGTTCTGTCCCCCTTTGTAATGTACAGCGCTGAGCAAACTATTGGCGCTTTATAAATACTGTATAATAATAATAATAAATGCAGTAGAAAGTGGCCATCTCATGGCAGACTCTCAACACCTTGTCAGCACTTCACTGCGCACAAACCAAGGTTCCATGGAAAAAATCCACGTTCAATTACTTGCTGTTGAAAAGGGTATGGTCCACAAAGCAGTGGTGGATACATTGTACCTTGAGTCCCTAGTGGTTTTCATTTTAGTGCCTCCTACTCCAGGGGTGCTGCTTACAGAATTCAATGAACCCTAAAACCAGCAGATGACGTTAGCAGCTTTTCTTAAAAACCAGAACATAGCCATCAACAAACAAGGCATTAAAGCCTTGCATGTGTCAAACAAAACTAAAAAAAAAAAAAAGTAATGACATCAAAGTCACTTACCAATGACATGTTACATAAGCTAAATTTCCTGCCTTGTCATCTAAATCAACCTAATCAACTCCTCTAAAAAGAGTCCTCACCAGAACAGATTAGATCTGCAAAATGTGAGAGTTATTTTCCTAGGAAGGCTGGGGGACGAATATGGTCAAGCATCCCCTTCACTTCTAATCTGCCCACTATTCACGAGTCAAGCAGATTCCCACACTTGTGTTGCAAGTTTGATTTTCTGACAAATGACACTAATGAAAGCTATGTGCACAGACCGCTCACAGAGCTGTTTTTGACACATGTATGCTCTACCCGAAATTGCCAAAAATGATGGTGAAATTAAATCTTTGGATGCTATCAAACAATTGGGTTTTTATGTGATGCTTCTATGAGCAATTACGTCTATTCATTCGGCTAGAGGCAGCATTATTTATGAAAGCTGAAGAAGAAGAAAAATTAATTTACTGGTGGGAAAAGTTCTCAAATAGCTCAGTCAATCTGTAATTCTTAACCTGACAAATACTCTCAATTATTCTCTCAGTGTGTTACCGCAAAGCTATCAATGCAGGTGAAAATGTATCCTACAAAACACATCATAAAGGAATTCATCAGAATAACTTTACAAAACCGCGTAAATCAACAGCCAGAAACAAAAATGCTTCCAGTCCTTTAGAAACACATTTTAATCTGGTGTATTACTGATAATAAAGAAGTGTAGGCTTTTTTTTTTTTACAACAAGCCATACAAGAAATATGGGGGCTGCATTGAATTGGCAAAATGACCATAAAAGTTTAGATGACAACTTACAGTTATAAATGTCCTGAAATAAAGATGATAAAAATAGATCTATAAATACACCCCATAGTCCCAACATGGGTTAACACGCTTTGCTATAAAAATGTATGATTTAGATGAGTTACAAAGCAGGCAGATAAACAGAGACCTGGGACAAAAAAAAAAAATTCTTACAGTGAAGCTTAGCGTGTTATCTTGTAGCACTGCATACACTAGGGACAATGGCAGAGGGAAGAACAAATATAGATGTGTGTCTATGGAAACACTGGGCAGAGGTATTGTGCTCAGTTATTTGAAAACTAATGTGTCTCTGAATGTTACCATCTAGATACAAACCACAGTTCTGAAATATGCATCACGCTGTAAACACCATGATAGAAAGCTTCATAGAGAAAAGGCCAGCATTTCCAAAAACACTTAAAGTTAAACTCCGAGCATAAAAGCTTTAAAATAAATATACTCTTCAATAACCACAAATGATAGAATTCCACTTTGTGTGCCTTTGCAAACCCAGGTATTAGCTTGGAAACGTAGCAGTGGCATCATCACTGGGCTGTTTACAGTCTGTGCAAATAGCAGAGCAGTGGGAGGGGCCCAGCTGCTCCACTGACTACAAGAGGGGGCGGAGACCAGACCAGTCATCTGCACAAGGAGAGAGAGCAGCAGGGAGCAGTCTGTATTTCAGGAAGCTCCTGCACAGTTTTACAACAGATTACTGCATAGATCTGGAAGTAATGCACAAAGCACACTAAGATTAGGGCCAGTTTGCACTATGCCCTGATCTGAATTGCACAGGATTGCACTGTGCGTTCCTGTGCAATTTATATGCGGATCTATGCAGTGTGATTTCAAGCCCAATCATTTGAATGGGATGAAATCACACCGCATTAAAAGTAATGCATACACTACTTTTTTTAAAAGCACGGCAACATTGTACTTTGTACCATACGGTTTGGTGCGGGCCAGCGCAGACAAATGCAATGCGTTTGTGACCTGCATTCGGGGTGTCGTTAATGTTAACTAACCCCCGCCGCATATTGGAATGTGG